TTATAGTTACAGTTAGTTATAGTTACAGTTAGTTATAGTTAGAGTTGGTCCCTGTACATCCTAACCACCTTTATGAGTTGCTGTGACCGACACTAGGCCTGAACTATGTACACCAGTGGTGGACCTGAAGTGATGAGATCCTCTGTAGGATTCAAGATGTCTGTGTGAGGAAGGTGACGGCATGTGAGGGTAGATAAGGCAAAGAGAGACTGTGGGGGGACCGAGGTGACGCAGAGAGAATAATATTGTGAACCACCAGCTGCACTCTGTTTAAAATCTTATTTTAAAAAAGGCCATAGGTATATGGAAGTATGGTTAGGGTTGAACTCACTCTGACGGTGTGTCTGCAGGCGGCTAGCGCTCGCCTCAACACCAGCACCACCACCTCTACATCAGGCACACTCTCTGATGGGCTACTGCCAGCCTCTTTCTGGCTTCTCATTGGTCCTGCCGGAGGAAGGGGCGATGCCACGCAGTCGGGTGGAGGATGAGCTGTGATGAGTTCAGAGTCACATCACAATTAAAAAGCATGAAATTATGTTCTGCTGCCATGACGACTGCTGCTCATACCTGTGTGCAAAGTGGGTGGGGCTATGCCACACCGAGGTGGAGCCAGAGGGTTGGCGGAGGGATACATAGGAGGTGGAGCTCCTGAACCTGGGGAACGATCAGAGACAGGATGTTTGAAGCATTAAAGACTGTGTAAAGCAAAGTCAGTCATTTGTCTCCTCACATGTACACGTCAGTAAGCGACACGTGAAAAGAGGTTGAGCTATAAGCTGTGAACAGACTGCTGTGTGATTTTTTCAAGAATTTGAACCCTATTTTTATACACCTGCAGATCAAATTTGCTTGGGTGGTTGATAACACGTTGGTCTGTGGTGAGATGATCTCAGAACATATATTTTAAATTGCTTTACACTTTAAAGTCTGAATAGCACAGACAGGTGTGTTTTTTTTCACCTGACACAGGTGGAGCTGCTCTCTTGTTCAGGAGGTTCCTCGGTGGTCCGCGGGCCATCTGAAGGCCATAGGAGAACTGAGGGGGGTCGTTCCAGCCCCGCTCCTGGTTACCTTGGCAACACATAGGCAGATTCAATCTGTCAATCAATCGATAAATCGCCACCACGTTTACATGATGAAACAAACATGTTCATTTACACATATTCATGTAATGAATAAACATGGAGGAAGAAAACAACAGGATAAGAGCAAATATATAATAAATAATGATATCAATAATAAACCATGAGAACTTAGTGACCTTCCCTTCACTGTCGATCAGCTAGAGAACTTTAAGAGGCTGAAGCTTGTGGTGACTCCACCTGATCCAGACATCACAATCTGTCGACTCTGCGTTAGCATCGACAGAGCCAGGACACTTTGAAACACTAGGTGGCGTAATGAGCCACGTTCAATCCACACATATAGATTATTTTATAGACGTGATATTAACACCAACATGACAGAACAGATCATTTAGTTTAGTTTCAGAATCTCTTTTAAACCTTTATTTTCTGTTCCAGATGAACTGAACCAAACATCTGCTGCTGTGTCTCTAGAAACTCATTTAGACTCACACTGATTAAGAAGAAGACAAACTTTATTGATCCCAAGGAGGAAATTCTTTTTACACTCATTTTTATTTATACATGCAGTTTTTAACCCCCCCCCGTCATCTCTACAGGCCTGCCTCCTGTCTGATGAGTCATTCTAATGACGTCAACAAATCTCCACGGATCCACAACACTTGAAGTTATTCACACAAACTGAACGTTTTGCGTCAAAGTGTCGAAGTCTGAGTTCGTGTCTGCGTCACAGTGAAAGAATCGTTCACCACTTCATCAGACCATGAACGATTCTCTCTGTTGTGGCGTCATGAACAGCGGCTCACCTGCTTTCACGTACATGTCCTCCATGTTGGATTCACCGTCTTCTTCCGCTGAGGACGCGAAGCTAACGGCTAACGTTTAAACAACGTTCAGGTTTAATGAAACTTCGCGTTTAAATTAATATTTTAACAAACACGAAGAGACGTCGAGCGAACATCGAGCTGTCTTCTCCCACTTTCACCTCCGCTCTAATTTCAAAATAAAAGAATCGGTATTTTTTATTTTGATGTTGTGGCGTAATCAAATA